AGGGGTCTGTAGAGCTTATCCTGGCCCGGCGGGTACTGCCAGAAGAGCCAGAACCGCACGACGCTGGTGACAATCCCCGGCACGTTTGGGACCTGTGGGAGGACATGGCCGGGGGGGAGGGGAGCAGATCTACCCAGCTCACGGTGCTGCTGCCCTCCCCCACCGCCGCTCCACCAGCCCTGCGTTGCTGGGGGAGATTTATTGGCCTTATACCATCTAATTAATTAAAATCAATACTCATCTCACAGAGCCTAGTCACGGGCTCTGCTGTGTGACACACACGGTGCTGGATGGGGGCTGGCCCAGTGCCAACCGCTCCGCTGAACGTTGGGGGGAATGGGATGGGATGGGACGGGATGAGTAGGATGGCACAGGACCAGATGGGATGGGATGGGATGGAGTAGGATGGCACAGGACTGGATGCGATGGGCAGGGGTGGAGTCACAGGACCGGATGGGATGGGACGGGATGGAGTAGGATGGCACAGGACCGGATGGGATGGGACGGGATGGAGTAGGATGGCACAGGACTGGATGCGATGGGATGGGATGGAGTAGGATGGCACAGGACCAGATGGGATGGGACGGGATGGAGTAGGATGGCACAGGCGCAGATGAGATGGAGTAGGATGGCACAGGACCAGATGGGATGGGATGGGACGGGATGGAGTAGGATTTAGGACCAGATGCGATGGGATGGAGTAGGATGGCACAGGACCGGATGGGATGGGACGGGATGGAGTAGGATGGCACAGGACTGGATGCGATGGGATGGGATGGAGTAGGATGGGACGGGAGGGGATGGGGCGGGATGGAGTAGGATGGCACAGGACTGGATGGGATGGAGTAGGATGGCACAGGACCGGATGGGATGGGACGGGATGGAGTAGGATGGCACAGGACTGGATGCGATGGGATGGGATGGAGTAGGATGGCACAGGACCAGATGGGATGGGACAGGACCGGATGGGATGGGATGGGAGAATACCCTTCGGCTGCCCGCTGCCCCAGCCCACCGTGATGTAGGGGTCGCGGAGCTGCAGGCCGTAGAGTGTCCAGCTGGTGGAGGCCAGGAAGGTGGTGACAGTCAGGGGGAAGGACAGGCAGCGCGTTGACTTACTCCGGACAATCTTGGCCTGCAGAGACAAACATCAGGCTGGTCCTGGGCTGGGCACCCCCAGCGCTGCTGTGGTCCCCTCCTTCAGCTGCCGCCCAGCCCCACGCACCAGGTCGGCCAGCGGTGAGAGGTACATGCTGATGGTGAAGACGCTGCAGAAGAGCCCCAGGCGTGTCAGGCGCGTCCGTGCATCAGCGATCAGGAGGG